ACGGTCGGAAATGTGTAATGTTTTTCAATTCATTTCTAGCTAAACCTTGGCTTTGTTTGCTTGTTTGGTTGTTTTACATGCACTTGCTAGATAGCTCTAAGAGGTTTTTCTCTGTTTACAATGTCGCCAGTCCAGTGCATTCAGAATTACAACAAGGAAATATCAGATTACAGTAGACCTCATTACATATTTACGTATTACATATGGTTAAAAAGGCTGTCAGCAACACCTTCAGTAAAATCTGAATTTGTTTTTGACTAGAAATAGGAATAGAAAGCACTACAGACTGCAGATTGTCCAAGCTATGTTATTCAGTCACTGCATTTTTTCCAGGCAATGGTTAGTATTTTTGAACAAGTCTTGTAAAATCTCTTAGCACACAGAAGTAATAACCTGGTATTTTCTTGATTCTGCTTAGGTACTTTTTGGCTTGTACCAAATATAATCATTAAAAGTTATTTCAAAACCTCCTTTCAAGATAGGATAAGATCCTCAAAAAGTTATGAAAAATCATTCTGGGATCCTTGTGCTCTTTGCAAAAGGATGTATGCTAGAGACTTGGCAGGGAGTTAGACAAATTCACGCACTTTATATGACTAACAGCAGCTACAAAAGGCTTATTTCTGATCAGCCTTTGGCTTACAGGGTTTTGGAAGGCTTTGCCTAGCCACCTCGAGGCATTCAGTAAATATTTCCATCTTCATATTCTTTAAAGAGGCCCAAAACATCAAATACATTCGGTCAAGCTATTTATGCACCTTTCTTTTCTGGTCCTCTGCGGCATCTGATTTTACCGAGGTCATTGAGACACTGATGCCTGGTGAATTGACGGTCATCAAAGGCTGTTAAGCGCTGGTCAGCTTCCTTGCAAGCCTTGTCTGTCATTACCATGAAGAAGGCTTCAGTTCAGCAGCTACAGACCACATATCCATAAACTGGTAACGAATAAGAATGCATTATATCACTAGGACAGCCATAATGTTACAGAAACATTTATTCTGAAACAACCTCATTTTTTTTCTGAAATAAAATCATGGCTAATGAAAAGCAAAATTATTTTCATGGCTGCAACATGACTGCTCTCCAGCATGTCTCTGAAATGCTGCTTTTCCCAACCCACCCTTCTCTCCTACAACTCCCTGGCCCTAAAGCTTCTCCTTAATTTAGCTTTTGCAATATTTGCAAGGGAATATATATATATATGACTTCAGAGTTTTAGCTGTACTTGGTGTTTTTGTTATGTATTTGTAGCTGTTATCTCCCACCGTATTAGTTTTGAGACCACAAAAAAAGTGAAATAACCTTAAATTGGAAAAAGTTAAGGGTAGGTGCTGATGAACCCTTAATTAAGATATAAAAATCTTGTTTAGAGGCACGTGGATTAAAGCCCTGTCAGCTGTAAAATAATTTATTGAAAGACAGAGGAAGGTCAGTCAGCTGGGACTGGCTGTTACAGCTACACTGAAACTACAGTTTTCATCAGTTTATGCTACCTGAGGATTGACTTAACACATATTCAGAACTATCTTTTATTCTGAAAAGTTTCTATAAAGATATAGTCTACCCTTTTAGAAAAATGCATGTTGAAGCTAACTTCTCCTGGTTAAATATGAGAATTATCTTGTCTATCCTAACTTTTGAGTTGTGCAGATGTTTTCTGGGTGGGAAAGGTAGGAGTGTAGAAAGCCTTGAAGACATCCTAAATCTTAAATTAGTCATGAAATGCTGTTATCAGTGGAAAGCTTTGGAGAAAACCCAAGACAGAATTTAATTTAGAGGTAGGGATGATCATATATTATTAATAAAACTTTCTGTTGAAGGAGTCCTGTGCTTAGCAAGTCATAACCATTTCGAGATCTTTGTCCCTAGGCTACAACCTACCTAGAGTAGGAGGATTATAGCTGTCTGCAATGAAGCTCCACACTACAATTTCTGTCTTTTTCTAAAAAAGAAATCTACTTAAGCTGAAAATAGTGAGATAACGGTCTTCACTTGTAGGCTAATTAGTCCTATCTAGATAATGCTGTTTTTTTCTGTGTAGTTCTAATGATACTGTATCAGCCCACTAAGGGGAAACAAGCCTCTCTTCTGCATCTACCTTCTTTCACTGATACACACACACACATTTTATATATATGTACACATACACACATGTAACAGTGGAAGATGATATACATATATGTATGTATGTATGCGTGCGTGTTTCTCCTGTGGCAGGTTCTTATTAAATGTTTCTCAACATCTAACCCTTCATTCAAGCCTTGTATTTCCAGACTGATCAAAAGTTGTTCATAGTTGACACACGACAAGCTTTAAAATATTTACCTTATATTTTGCCCATAAAAACTGAAAACAATATTATTCAGAATACATTTTCAAAAGACCTGAATATCAGTAATGTGGACTGCTTAGTGATACATTACAAACTTTCTAAAGACTGCTAGAGCTTACAATTAGTGTCCAACTATGAGTAATGGGAAAGTTTCCTTAGGCAGTGCAAGATTTTGTGCAAAATTACTCAACGGGGGGTGTAAAAGGCTTAGAATATCTTTGCTCCAACAGCATCTAATTTCCATTAGACAATTCAAAACCAGACCACCGAGATGCAGTCAGACACCGAGTGATATTGCTCTTCCAGTCTTGCACGATATAAATTACTGAGCTGGTTTAGTGGTTCTCCTTGCCTCTCAGCAAATTTCAGGTGTACAGTGTTGCTCCCAGGACTTTGACAGTTTGGGGCCAGTTTCAATCTGCTGCTCTCATTTACATTTCAGGCACCCATTTTCTTCTTCTTCCAGACACTCTTTCCTCACATTCAGGCTGCACATAAAAGATGCTACAAGCGCTGCACCTGGGAAGACTGACAGCCTGCAGTTCCCAGTCTGCCTCTCTGTGCTGATAGCTAAATAAATCTGAAATATCCCTATACGAAAGTCTTGCTGCTTCCATTCTTCAGTGCACTATATCTTTACTTAAACAATACCTAAAAAAATTGATCTATTTTGAATTCATAAAATGAGCAGTCTAACACCATCGACGTATTTCTTTTTGATTATTTGAAATATCTCATCACTAACTCACAGCAACTGCTCAACGTACGGATGCATTTCGCCGTTTTCCAAGTACACGCATCCTGCATCCTTCAAGATCTCATTCATCTCCTGAAAAGTTCCTAAGCCATAAAATTTAGGGTCTTACTCTGCACCTACAAGACGCTGCCATAAAACAGCACGTGGTTATTGGTACTAGAACCATCTGGAGGAGATCGATGCTCTCTGTGTATCAACATGGCTTAAGGAGTAATAAACAAAAATCACCCTACTGTCTCCAAACAGGGTAGTTTACACATCAGTGTTTGATTCATCAGCAAAAACAGGAATCAGAATAAACGACTTAATTATCTACGATGTTTTTGAAACGTGGAAACACTATTACAGCCATCTCTTACAGCATGTGATCTATCCACATTCATGGTACTTTTTCCTCAAGTTCATGCTTCAAGTAAAAACAGGCCACATACTTACAAGATATCAATTTATATGTGCTCTGAACTTGAGAAATCCCAAACCTGTCAATTATGTTCCACACATCAGTATTAAATAAAAGAACCACAGGGCTCTCAAGTAAGTTTTAGACCACACGTTACCTTCCTCCTTCTCATGGCAGTAACGTGATGGGTCTGAGGGGCACCATGTGCCTTTGCAATCATTTGTATGACCAAGTTCTCTCTGCACCTGAATTGTGTATGTTCCTGTGTGTTGTGTATTGTGTGCAAAGGCCCCCAAATGGCATAATATTTAACCTGTTTGCACTTCTCTTTTCTTGCACCATGGAATTTACAATACCATTAACTCGATAATTCTGGACATTTGTGTGATTTCTATCATGGATTTCGTTAACAGCTCAGAGAACCCTCAGCCAGTTTCATGTAAAGTTTCCCTTTGTTGCTAGCTGTTAAAATATGGTAAGATCTCTGCAAGATCTTTTAAATTGCATTGCAAGGAGTCAACATGTTTTTAGCTGATGACAGTGTACCAATGTTAATTTGACTAATGTAGTTCATCATGCAGTATAGGATTATTTTCTTATCCTCATGATATTTTGTCAGACTTTGTTCAATTCAATTTAAATTTTGGTGAAGATCCTACCTTAAGAAAAGATAGCTAGTCCGCAAACCTTTCATTATGCTGAAGTTGCTGATGTTGCATTTACCAATGAAAAAAAAATCTCACTTGGTGTAACGGTAGGATTTGAATCACTTTTGGACACTTTTTGCACCATGCATAGCAATTTGATTGCTTTACTTTCTTTCTTTCTTTTTTTTTTTTGACTGAGGAGGAGAAATGGGAGGTCAAGGCTTTACAGTTTCTGTCATGCTTCACTACAGTGTAATTCTAGACCCTACGATTTCTACCATTCCTATTTTGGTAATGAATGGAATGTAAAAGGGAGGTATTTAAAATTAATTGCAGCAGTTCTGAGGGTTAAACCTGCTTAACCCAACCTTTTATTTAGAGAGTGTCAACAGAGCATATATCTTGTCTGGGGAGTGCTGAGGCATTGTTATTCTTCCACCAGCACATTTAGTTCTAAAACCTGGGATTTCTTCAGGTTCCCGTAGCACACAACATACCCATCCCAAATTATAACGTCTGTTCTGAGCTACTCACTACAGCAGGATTTGACCTGAGAAACTCTAGAGTTTTGTTTTACTTTATTAACTTGGAGTATTTTTAAACAGTTTTTAAACAAAGTTTTCCCTCGACCAGCAAGGGAATTTTCAGCCTGAAGTTCTCAGCAGCATCCGGTGAGGCTCCCAGCCAAGTTCTTCAGATACTTGTACATGTACACCCACAAGGACAGCCTGCTGGCTTTTGCCGTGGCATTTTCTTAATCCTCAGAACAGATTTCCTGGATCTAGGAAATTTAATTCCTGACTCCTTTGACCCAGATGCTGGCAAAAATGTAGTCTGCAGTCTGTACGTAGTTGGCTTCTTCATTTTTTTTTCTAGGAACTGGCTTTGCTGTTAAATTTTTCTAAAACAGTCATATTAATATGTTCGAACATCCACTGTTGAGTTTCAGATAAAGGATCACATCTGTTCATGAAAATCTTCTTCTCAGCTGGGTTGCAATCTATGCAGCTGTTGCTTACCGGATGGAACAAAGTTTTGTCCTACAGGAATGAGAAAAAAAGAGATAGAATGAGGTAGTAAATGCCAAGTAATTGGGAGTGTTCTCATTTTACAGAACACGCATTAACACAGCACTAGCTGAGGTGATTTTGTATTGTCTGTGTGCTAACCTTGTGTAATGAACAGATATTATTTGGGAGCTGCAGAGAGCGGAATGATCATTCTTGGATTATTATCCCCTCAGAAAATTAGGGATTCAAGCAAGTGAGAAGACATCCTTTGGTCTTTAGCTAACAACCACAGAATGTAATGAGAAAAATAGATGTCATTTAAAAATCTTTGCATATCACGTTAACTCCCTGTTTAAAACCACTGCAAAGCTTTTTGTTTGGATCTGTTTTTTGACATTTTCTACAGTGCTTCTGTAGGAATATTAACTGATGTGCTATGATGAATGGTCAGACACAGGACTGGTGATCTCAGTTCCCACCTCATAAAATGCAGACTTCTTCTATGACCTTGATAAGACAAGCTGCTGAAGTGCTCTATCCCCCTCGTAAGTAGTAAATCATAACACTGTGAAAATCAGTATTTATTAAGCTGCTTTATAAAATGCTGTTTATTATTATTATTATTTACTAATCATATATCACAAAATTGGAATGCATTGTAAATAGTCTGACTGTGAATCACTGGTGAAGCAGAAACTACCCCGATGGACGACGGGTATTTGTGGATTTGATAGTTCCAGCGTATTTAGTTCACGTAGGCAAGTGGCTGAGGGAGACAGATGTGGGAGTGATTAGGTGGTTTGAAAGTTTCCAGGTACTATGAAATGCATTTATTATATCTGCTGAAATAACATTTCAGATTACTTCCAGTAAGCACACCCAGGCTTTTCTGCTCTGTGCCAAATGTGCCCTGCCAGTATTTTAATACTAATCCAGGACGCGCCTGCTTGCCCTATCACAGTTTGGGAGAGAAGAAAGAATGCTACTTGTCAAACCATGATTAATTAAAAACTTCAAGAAACAATGTACAGGAACTCCTCTCTAGCTAAAAATACCCATGTTCACAAAAGGAGTATGACGGCAACCCCAAATATAACAGCATAAACAAACAGTAGCAATTTAAAAAAACTTGGAAAAGAAAGTTTGGAAATTTTATATATGTACTTTATTTTGCAAAAGATTAAATTGATTGATTTGGGGAGTGCAGAACACTGGTAATGTATAATACCCTTTTTTAAGTTTTAGCATATGCAACAGCAAGCCAAATCTAAAACATAACATTGCATTCTGGCCATGGGTGAGTCTTTTGCAAACCCTGGTTCCAACAGGTCTTCTTCCCCAAATCAGCAGCTCACGGCACAAAACAGTGAGTGTGAGGGTTGCCATCACGGATGGCTACACCAACCCGACGGGATTTGTTTGGATCAGCAGGGTGCAGGCTCCGAGTTTTGCCCCGGAGTGCACGGGAGGGTTAGATGTGCAAGGATGGGCTCCCTGCACCCTGCACCAGGCGCTGCCGTGTCCTCACCAGCACGTGCTCCAGCATCCAAAGGGTGGCGTGGATAAAAGCTGCCCTGTCGGCAGCTGGACGCCTCTCCCTGTCACCCTGTGGGAAACGGAGGGGGACTGCACAAAGCTGGGAGCTTCGGTGACCGCTCCAGAGCCGCCCCGGCGCTGCGGGGCCCGCGGGGGCAACATCTGCTGCGTTTCCTCGTGGAACAGACGGGGTTGAGGCTCGGGCAGGCTTCACTATTTGTGCTGTTCGGAGGCTGCAACAGGAGAAGCCTCAGCTCCAAAAGCGTGTTATGAAAAACGCTCCAGCCTTCCCAAGGAAAGCCTGCGCTCTTTGTTCTCCCAGAAACATCCAGGGATGGGATTTCTGAATGAAGCAGTGTTGGAGCTCTCTCTCAGAAAGCGTGGCTTTTAGGAGACACAAGGGTCTTTTTAGAAGAGGGTCAGAGTTGGCACTTCGGAAAAACTTCTGGATGACTTAGCTATGTATAAAGGCATATTAATTTATCATCTCAAGCTTACACTGACCTAAGGTCAACGCCTGCTGTTCTCACAGAATTCAGCGGAAGGGCTTTGAGCCTGTAACAGTTGTACGCGTGCCAGGGAAGATCTTTCCAAGAGAAATACAGAAATCCCTCTTTACATCAATATTGAAAAGCCACAAGAAATCCTTTGGAGACTTTTGTATCATCTGAAAACAGCGAAGTGATTCCTTTTTCCTTTTACATGAGGGCAAGGCATTATGTCATTTGTAGAAGGAGAAACTTCTCGTAAGATAAGAGGCCTCGGCAGTTCAGGGGGTTGGTAATGAGGCACGGAGCCTTTCGCAGCGCCGGGGTCACCGCCGTAACCACGGCCAAGGTCAGCAGCAACTGGAAGTCATTATCGGCTGGTGGCTGCGCTCGTTTATCTGAAATTAGTTGCTTGCCCCAGCGCAGTTTCTGCAGGACAGATGTCCCTATGATAAAAGCCACTATCACAATGACACGTCTTCGGTTTCTGAGGAAATAATCTATGAACCGACTGCGTGAGGAGTGAACTTGCTCTCAGAGCGTGTCCCCGCGCTGCTCTGCGCACAGTGAACTTCAGGTTCTGACGCTATCAGCCCAGCATCCATCATAACCACTACGTGCAGGGCACGATTATAGTATAATGAAATTGATTTTGCACAATTTTTTTTAAAGACACACTAAATCAGCTCTTTCTTGATACTCGCAGCAATCCTACCAATAGCACTAATGGGACTAGAGCACATAAATTGAATCACACTTTATCAGAACCGGTGTATTACCTATCAGCTCGGAGCGATGCTAAATTGAAAACTGGAAGCATATTCCTGCACTGGGAGGAACAGCAAATTGGAGACACCATTAATCTTTGGCTCTGGCAGGCTTAGGAATCACACAGAGTCAAGGAAACCCCTTTTAGGCTGGGAAGACATTATTCTCCCAAATATCTACTTATTTCCAGTTATTTACCTTTATCTATATAATCTCTCACATTGCTCCCATCATTGATGTCAATATTTTTGCCCAGTATTAAACTCACTTTCTTCTCTTTCCTGCCCACAGTAGTACTTGGATTCATTCCACTTCATCAGTTCTTACAAAACTTTCTTGAGGTTATATGTGGCTGCTTTATTATAGACTGGTATTTTGGATTGGTTAATTAATATCATAGACTTACTAGAACTTTCAAATGTAGTTTAAGATTCAGCTGTGTCTCAGCCACAATATATGATTAGCAGCATGGGAATACGGGTTTATTTTTTTTTTTGGTTTCACTTGCTATATCTACAACAGCACATAGTATTGCACAACAAAAGTACATGTGTTAAGTGAAACAGCTAGTGCTGGCAACTTGATGTCCACAGCTTTGGACTAAGTCTAGTGCTGAGGCTGTGTGTTTATTAGTGATAAATTCTTTTGGTTTAGTTCATTTGAAAAGAATCCAGTTTATGTGCTCTGAGATGGCGTTTCAATGGGAAATGCAGTGCACAAAGTGGGGATGAGCTGAATTTTTTTTCAGAAGGGCACTTCTCACCCATTATTGTATTTTCTTTGCCAGTAAAATATTTTAAATGTTTTTATTTGCCAGCATCCAAATACAGGATATTAGTGTTTATATACTATAAAAATATGGAACTTTAAAGCAGCATCTGACCTAAAGCTGCATTTGCAACACTTTGTAATCAGTTCATAGGCCTAACTTCTTTTTACTAGTAGCTTAAGAATGTGAATGTTCACGAAAAGACACTGATCCAAGAAAGAACGAAAAGCTCTTATCTTCTAGTGTTATAGGAATGCTATGACAGCATGGCAAAAACTGCTTTACATTAAGCATCTTACAAGATTAGTGACAAACAAAATTGTTTTTTGTAAAACACAGAGAAAATTATTGGTGAGATGGGTATGCGATTAAAAAGCTATGACTTCTGTAAATAATGCAGAGAAGAGAACAGCTGCTGGCCCGCTCTTGGCTGTTATTACTTTTTTTTTAAGAAGCATTTCTTGCTTAACCACAGACTATTATTCTTATTTATTTAGGGTGTAATTTTAATGGCGTGCCAAGCTAGAAAGGCCTCTAGTATAGATGCAGTTAAGCCATCATAAGCATCCTTTTTTTTTTTATACAATTTATTTCTGTTTGGGAAACAGCATAAATCCTGCCAGCAAGATGCTCTCAAAATTAGATAAGGATTGCACCATGGGGATTTTGTTGGTATAGCTGTGCCACCAAGAATCTCTAATGTGAACTTGCCCTGTATCTGAAGAAATGAACTATGTGAAGCAATCAAAAGCTACTTTATGTGCAGCCTAACTAAAACTGAGCCTGAAGGGAAAAAAAGAAAAAAAAAAGAAAAAAAAGAAAAAAAAAAGCATCCACAATCTTAATTCTAATACAGGTTCTTAGTTGAAGTTTTATAGATGAACAGTAAATGTTCACGCAAACTAATCAGGTTGCTGTCAGATTTAAATTACAGTTAGGACTGTGTCAGTATTTCCATCTTAAGAAAAAGGAAAGAAAATGGGAAAAAAAAAAAAAGGGTTTCTTCCTGAGATGTAAACACCTGCCTGGCACTGAGAATTTTTATATGAGCCTCCTAAGCCTTCTGGGTAATGAAAACTGAAGCTGTGCAGAGAATTTAACAGAACTCACACTGTGTGTTTTTTCCAAATGTCAGCATTCCTTTGGTGTCTGCTGTGTCCTGTGCTCACCAAAGGTGATGAGCCATGTGGAGGGCAGTGCAAGATGTGCACTTGGTCCTATGAACCTGCTGCAGGAGGCACCAGTGACGTGCTGGAGCTATGAGAGCTCCTTTCGTGCAGCCTGGGTAGGCACCAAGATAGACTGGAGGGGTTCTGAAGCAAGGAAGTGTATTTATGGCATTATAAAGCCAGATATGTAGCAACAGAGCCACAGCAATTTATGTCCTATAAATATCTCTCCCATACATTCTAGCTGTATTACAGGTAGTACTTCAGATTCAAGGGATTCCATTTTTTGGAAAATCTTGTGATGCATCTCCAATTGCAATAAAAATACTATAAAAAGGCACAAACTATTACTAAGCACTCAAAAAAAAGTGTCAAAGGCAAAACTATTTTTAATGATTATGAATTAGTTTGCTACTATATATCATCCAAAACTGTAATTTTGCCACACAAGCCTCAACAGTGTTTTCTAGTTTTAAATTTTTTTGTGTGACACTTTTTTTGAGGGCCTAATTACCAGCTTGTACTTTTTTACTGTATTTATATAATACAGAGTTTAATAATGGAATGGAATGGGACAACTTGCTGGTTAACCTGTTTTTTTTTTTTAATGAATCTTGGTAGCATCACTAGGGCCTAAATAGCATCACTTCTTTACCCTAAATGAAGCTCTGACAGTTTTCAGCTTAACCTCATGTTTTCAGTGATTTATAAAAAAAGGCTGAAACTTAGCAGATCAGCGTAGTCTTACTTTAGTCTCTTGGCAAAGTAGTGCTTATTCTTAATTTATAAACTCCCACCTTCTGTGGGCTTTCAGCAGTGTTTTTAATGTTGGTTTGAGGCTTTTAATGTTGGTTTGGGTTTTTTTTTTTTGAGAGAGATTTCTCTAGCAATTTTAATCTTTAAAATGTAGTAAAATAATAATACTTAACTCATGAGCAGCCTTTCTTGCTGCTGTCAGATTGGATGAAAATACTTCCAGGAGTGCTTCTGTTAAAATGACACGTGTGTCTTGAAGTGCCAGAACGGTAAAACATCTTTCAGGGAATAGATCCAGCACAGACACCCTCTGTGCTGGATCAGATCCATATTCATCTAACTTTGACCTACATAGCTGAATGTTCAAAAGGAACATTAGAAATTATCACAAAACTAAATTGGAGTAAGACAGTGGATTTTAAAACAGAACTTCTCTACGGGGAAAACACAAGTCCTGCTAAACTGAATATAGGTTCAAGATAGTCTGAATTTCTGGAAATGACTCAGAGTGACTCCAACCTTCCTATAGCTCCAGTGCTGGTTTCCCTTCATCCCGTGACAGTCATAGAGTGTGACAGGGCTACTGTGCGAAATGGCATCGAAGCAGAACTTCCTGGTGTGAAGTGGCTCCCCGGGGCGGATGTCCTCTCTCCAACCAAAGGTGAACAGCTAGAAAAGCGAGCAGGCAAGATAGCAATATATTAGTAATAATAATAACACATTGAAAAACATACACCTAGCCTGATGCATGTTTCCCTGCTCTGGACATTACAGACATTGATTGAATGAGATACTACATGTGCATGATTCGGTGATCCCAACTGCTTTAATTGAATTTAGAAATCATTAATGGCAACATGGAATATATCCCAAGAAGGCACAATCAGCAGTTTATGGCAGGGAAGAAAAAAATCTCTGGTGACAGAGGAAGAGCAGAGGAAGTATGCCGTAGGATTAAAACCTCAGGTTACCCCATTAAAGAAGCACTCACATGTCCTAGAACTACGACTACTTGGCATTCAGGGGGCCTCTCTGTCAGCCTCACCTGCTGACGTTGCCCTAACTTCCATTTGGGTCTCAAGAAGTTGCCTAGCGAGAGCTTTCCGTTGCAGCGTTCTCCCATTTTTCCATGTTTAATCACAGTTTCCTCTGTTTACCTGAGACACCCTTAGCATGCCCTCTCTCTGCTCTCTGTTTTCCAAAACGTCACATGATGAACGATCTTCATCTCCTTCTTGGGAAGCCTTGGTGAAGCCCCTTTTCTTCCGGGAGGCTCACGGTTAATAGAAGAATCCTTCTCAATCAGACACCAGCTGTCTGAAATTACGCCGTGACACTGCAGGCTCTCAGTCATACCATGAAGGTGACAGGCCTGACAGCACCCAATTTAAGGATGCAGCATGCATTTTCCTTTCTTATGGCCCAATCAGTGCAGAAAACGGGCTGCAGCTTATCAATTGCTACCTAGAAGCTCTGCTGAGAGCTGCAAGGGCTTTTCCTCTTTCCTCCTTTGTGTGAGTGCTATTCTTTGGCTCTCTGACTCGTGATTTTCCACAGCACAGAGGGAAAGCATCGAGAGAGCCGAGCTCTCTTTAGACGAGCAGAGTTGGCTCGTGGAAATCGTTCGGCCATGACAGGTCATGTGGAAGTCCAGGCGGGCTCATTATCCCAGAAAGAAGCTCCATGTGCTGCGTTTCCCCTGCATCCGGCACCGCAGCCATCTCACTGAAAGGCAGCTTCTGTGCGTAGATACCAGCCTGCTCCCAGCGGTGTACACATCTCCTGATAGAGCCAATATATGTAAATCCAAACCGAAACTGTCGAGCTCGGTGTCTGATCCTGAGTACTTCTGTTATGGCTCCAGATTTCAACCCCTTCATTCGGATTGCTGTCTTCTTTTTGTGGTCTTTCTAAAATACATGTCTTTTAAAATGAGGGATCCTCAATGTTTGACCACCCCCCAAACGCTGCATTTGAGAAGCATTATTGCTTCCCTTGGCCCGCAGGCAGAGAATATGAGCGTACATCCAAACATTTGTCTTTTGTGTTGTATGTCTCATCATAAGCTCTTGTACTCCCTGTTAGCTGCTGTCATTCCCTATTTGCTTCTATATTGTAGGTTTTCTAGTCTGCATTTTCCTGGTCCACCCCTATGTCCTGCTTATTACGTCCTTCCTCCAGAAGGCATTTTATACTCATCTGCAGTAAAGTGATTGCATTTCACAGATTTAACTTCATTTTCAAGCCAATTCCTGTGTTTGAAAGGCTATGTCTTCCTCTGCTTTTCTCTGTGCTTCACAGAAGCAGTGTCACGGACTCTCTGCAAAGATACTTCGCTCTGTCACAAGCCAGTGAGAAGTAAGACTTGATACAGCAAAAAGCAACAATGCTGCTGCTTTAGAGAAAGAGACAGCTGGAATGGTTTTCTGTTAAGGGAAGAAGCAGAATAAGTCATTTCTTTTCTCCCACCCTTTACTATTCCACACAACGAGTAACAAACTTAGGGGGCTCCAAACAACAAGTAGCAAATATCAGGAGAAATTTGAGCATACACCTTTCCAGTGGACCTTTCTCACTGCTCAAGGCCTACAGCTGCACTGAATGCATCAGTATGCTCAAATACACCCAAGCTAACTTTTAAACCAGATCATATTGATGTAGTGTGTCCCTCCCCTGTGACTGCCAGGGAAGTGTTTTGTGAAAGCCAAGAATCTCGTCTTGGTAACACAGAGAATTTTTTATTCCTTCCATGGGAAAACAGAGAAGGGGAAGAGTCTGTCTAGCACTAGATCTCAACCTTTAGACTAGCACAGACTTCCTCCTTCCCAGCCTGCTGTTTCGTAATAAATAAATAAATCTTGTTTTTAAAGCAACAGGTTCATCTCCTCCCTGCTGACACTATTATAAAATCAACCTTGCTGGGACATAATCTCAGCTATAAGACTAGGGAGAAGAGAAAATAAAAGACCGGGCAAAGGGTGACACTTCTCTACACCCCAACTAACACTAAAATATTAGAGATAATGTTCAGGGGCCTTTTGGTCCTTCCAATCTCATCATCTGTGGCATCTCCTCCATTACACAATAAATTCTGCCACTTAGTTTACCGCTAACACTGACCAATAAAACCATTGTCTTTCCTCTGCACAACTTGTAACAACACTTCATGTTATTAGCTGTAGCCCCAGGTACATAATGCTCCAATTCGCCACCTGTCTCTCACTTTGGATGTTTTTGCTCCTTTGATCTGAGCTGTTAGAAGCCACCTGAGTCTGATTTTATGAGACTGAGAAATGGGTGAACCCCAGTGCACTCCTTTGCTCACAACTATCTCTTGGCTGATGTGAAACAAGGCTGCACGTACGTTTCTGAGCACATGGGAGCAAATGGCAGGCTATTTCCCTCACTTATCATCTCCAGGGCTGCGATTTGCTCCGCTCGGTGCCGAGGCCACGTAACTCCCTCCATCCTTCTTGCTCACCAGGCGCTCGCTCCTCCGCCTCCATCTCCGCTGCTATCGCAGCACCACACAGCCACAAGGCCCCGTCCTCCGCACCAGCAACCAAGCAACCCCTTGACCTTCATGTTGTAGCTCTGAGGAGGCCAAGCGCTGTCACACAGGAACTTGGAAAAATACAGCTTTCCAGCTGCCTCATTTTTTTTAAAGAAAGGAGCTGAACTTGCAACTGGCACTGGGCCTGAAAAATGATCATGTGAAACAGCTATTGGTTTGGAGCTCTCCACAGGACAAAGACCTTTTTGATACCATTTCCAGCCTGATGACATGGTTTGGTCACTAGCTGTCCGGCTGGCAGCTCGTGCAGCGTTAGACCACAGCGCTGCATGCAGCAGGCAACGTGTGCCCTGCGCTAAGAGGAAACACCACATTTCACAGCTAGGCTCTTGCATTGCATTTCCAAGCACAGAAGAAAGCTGGGCAGGCTGCACAGTTACCTACAGGCTGCGTTACAGATGACACATCACGAGCCCCTAAGCAAGGTGAGGGACTTGGCAGGACAGAGTAGATGCCTGTCATTTTACTTTACTCAGTCCAGCAGAACCTTGTTTTTCTCTAAAATCAGAATATATCGAGATATGGAAAACCTGCCTGGATGCGATCTTGTGCAATGTGCTCTAGGTGACCCTGCCTGAGCAGGGGGGTTGGACTGGATGATCTCCAGAGCTCCCTGAGTCTGTAATTTAGATTTTGGAAGACAGACATGGAAAGAAGACTGAGCTGTGCTATCTGCCCCTTTGTTTTTTCACTTGTTTTTAATTGTGGGGAAGTTTCCAGGAGCTACAGCAACCTTCACGCTCCATTCTGATCTTTCACCTGCCCATCAGAAATGGCAAAACCAGCCCAACAACATTCTGCCTGCTTGAAAAGCGCCTGCACCTTTTACAACCCTGGCTCATCCTCGGTGTGCTGTGGGCTGCCAAGCTGTGCCACCCACCTCGGGGCACCCAGCGCTCCTTTTCTGAACACTTTAACACGACAAAATGCAGTGGCACAAGAGACTGTGGAAGTTCATACCAGAAGTCACAAGACCAGCTCAGTGTCAATCCACACAATTTAAAAAATTGATACTAAAATACTAATTTTCATTAACAGTGCTGGTTTCTACCAGCATATACAGAAATTAAGTAAGCAACAAATTCAGGAAGATATAAGCGATAAAGAAGAGCTACCAGAGTAGCTCGGGTAGGTCCTTTTTTCCCATTTACAAACACTCTTTAACAAAGATAGTTTTCCTGGCTCCCTCTGGTGCAAGCAGAAGATGACATAGTTTTTCATGGAAGATGCTTCATCAGGCTGTTGTTCTGCAGCACGGTGCAGGTGACATTCCTGACCTGGCAGCCTTTGGGATCGAGTAAGGAGAGCTAGTGGAATTTCTATCAAAATACACCAACCTGAAACCCCTTTTCTTTTTTGAAGTTAGATCAACTATCACCAACATACAGGCAAATTTTGCTGCCTGGGCTGGAAATTAAAGTTTTGCCCACAGGTTCATGAGGAGCTGCAGGACATGGCAGTGCTTGGCTACGGCTGGAGCTCAGAGACAAGATCTCAACACAGCTCATACTGGGGACTGAGGGAAATTTCAGGAAAAAAAGGAAAAAAGGAAAAGTGCTTTTTATTCCTAGAAAAAATGACCAACCACTCCGAATCCTGTATTGAAAATGTTTTGCCCTTCTGAAATTAAAATTTTTCTGAATTTATTTTCTGCAGGAAACTTCAAATTTTATGATGGATGAAATATTTTCACATTTTTCACATACCATAATTATGGAGCAGAAATCCTAGTTTCTGCCAGCCCTAATAGCTGAGCTTGTTTCATTCTGAGATTCTGTAACTCTTTCCTTTCATTCTTAGCCAGCACCTTCGACACCTGCACCTTGCACAAACTCACCCTTCAGATCACTGTGTCGCGTATCAGGAGTCTGAGCACTTGACTAAATTAATTCTTATTTTGTCTCTAAACCAGACCAGAAACCAAGAGAATATTAAAGCTAAGACTACGCAAATAACAAGTTGCTAGTGCAGTGATGGACACTATACCTCATCCTTATACCGAGAAATCTTTCCTCTACAACTTTTATTCTGTAGATTTGGAAAATAAAGTTCCTTTTTCTTTTTTTTTTTTTGGGGGGGGAGGGAGGAAGAGGAAGAGAGAAATGAAATTATATTACCCTAACCTAGGTTTCTTCTAAAGATTCTTCAATATTTCCCATGTAATTTTGAGAATTTACATTGTCAGGTGGATAAACTAACAACACTGTTCCTATCAGTGCAAAGAACAACTTTTTGAATGCAGGGTAAGCTGCAGTGATGGAAACCAAGCCAACCAAAAACTAACTCTATTTCACTTTAGCAAAAGAAAACTGCATTGAGGGTGAAATAGTGTAATATACTTAGTGTGTGGAGGGACGACTAAATGATTAAATTTCTCCCGCCCTGTCATACCTGAAAAGCTCCGTTTCTTTCTGATTCTCACGGCTGCCAAGGCCTGGAGCTGCCAATTCACCCACCTGCCTCTGCTGCCTGTTGGTGTTCAGCTTGTCTGGAGCTGCCCTCTGCTGACATTTTCCTCAACTGCACACTGGGAATAACGGCAGGGAAGGAGTGGAATCACGCAGGGAGCTGGGATGCTGTGGCTGAGCTGGGTGATGCTGTGTTGAGCTGGGTGATGCTGTGTTTGAGCTGGGTGATGATGCTGTGGTGGAGCTGGGTGATGCTGTGGTTGAGCTGGGTGATGCTGTGTTGAGCTGGGTGATGCTGTGGTGGAGCTGGGTGATGCTGTGTTGAGCTGGGTGATGCTGTGTTGAGCTGGGTGATGCTGTGGTTGAGGACGTTGTGCTGAACGCCTCGGCCTGGCCTTGGGCAGCCCTTCCCAGGGCCCCGGCACCGCTCCGTGCGCAGCCGAGCGGCGCGGGAAGCGCCCGCCTCCCCGAGGAGCTGCGGGCTCTGCTCCTTGTCTCCTGGTTTTAACCCCTGTTGTCATCGCTGCAGAACAAGACCCTTGTGTTCCTCATTCCAGACATAGTAAGGTACTGGAATACACCAAACCACAGATCACAGGTTCCTTCCTAAACTGCCTCCCTCTGTTCATCCCTTCCCTTTCCTCCTAAGAACTTCTTCATTCAAGGGATATATATATATCCCTTGAATATCCCTTCATTCAAGGGATATGTATATATATGGTCTCTTTTCCGTCCTGTTTTTTTTTCTCTCATCTTTTCATCCTATTTTCTCCTTTCTCTTTCCTCATCTCCGTGATTCTCTGGAATCCCTCTTTTCCTGAGGAGGGTTTGGTTCTCTTTGGATGTGTAGATTCTAAAGCCAGAGACACTGCTGTGATGATCAAGTCTGGACCATACGACTCCCTTCAATCAATTGTTTGAATTACTACATCTTTCATAGACAAAACTTGTTTAAGTTGGGCTAATCTCAGCATCCTGCCAGTGTGTTGTATCTGAGTTAGCTATGTGAGGAAGCCTTCTTTCAGCAATTTTCCTTTTCCCCATGTAGATACCGGTCTTGTGATCCCCCTTTAGCTCTGCAGTGACTTTAGCTCACATACCTCCCCTTGCACTTCCCAGGATCCACAGAGAATGGTTTCTTGACCCCAACACTTCCAATACCCCTCAGCACTTCTGCTTCCTTAGCTTGTAAGCTCTGTGTGCCACGGATGACAGGTCGGTTTCTCTTCTCAGCATTGTGAATTGTTTCTAATCTGGAGCCCTGCCCTGTGGAAGGCTCTTTCACTACCACTGCCAACAAGTGGTCAGGCTGTTCTTTCCTCCTGATTCTCTTTGCTGCGGGTTTGCCGGACCCACAGCCTGGGAGTTGCAATCTCTTTCCTATGGCAGTCCCAACCATGGTGAGTACAAATCAGGGCCATTTTATTCCATATTCCCGAGAGCTAATATTTTTCTAACAAACTAACTTAGAAAAATATTTTGTTTGAGCTTTTAAGCTCCCTTGTCTCTGTGAAACTCTTTCTGGCTTTCACCCTATTTATCTCCCTTATATTTAGTTTACCTATCCACTTAAAATACAGCCACTCAAGATGGTCCTTCTCACCTGTTGATCTCAGTCCTTTATGAGGCCTCTATTTCTGAACCACTCACTGAACTCACTGATATGAAAGGATGAAAGGAGACAACCAATAGGGCTTTACATGCATAGGTAGTATTAAAAAAAATGCTCTGAGAAATAACAGAACTGAAATCAGTATGTTTTTGTAACAAAGCAGGGGAAAATGGGGCACCCAAAGCCTCTTTGAGTTTTACAATCCCTTTTAGAAATTAAAAAGGGCATACAGCACAGGCAAGAGCTGGAATTTCTGAGGTTATGTTACAGATTACTTTGCAAAAGCTAGCGAGGTGAGCAGTGGTTCAAAAATAACGTCTCCACCTTGCTTAGCCTTAGGAAAAGGAGGAAAGCTCGGGAAAGGGTTTAGAAATCTGAAAAGAGAAGCAACAATTTTAGACTGCTTTTCTCTTTTCGTTGTTCAAATACCTGTTCGTGTGACCATGTCCGTTCTGAGCCATCCTTCACACAAATGTCTAGCCTCAGCTCAGTCCCTGTGGCTCCATGTTTACTGTCCACACAGAGATTGGCTGCCACGTTTCGGATCTGCAAAACCAAGCAGCAACATTTCACGTTAAACAGGCTGCAGAATACAGCTTCTAACATTAGGAGTTGTTAAGAATTTAGCTTGCTCTTATTTTAGTCAGAAATGGAAGGGTTTGAGACTCACCGTAAGTTCAATAAAACTGCTGGGGCTTTTTGCATGGCATAGAGCCACGTCCTGGAGTGAACTTTTTTTTTTTTTTTTTTTAAACAGCTTTAAAAGCAGCAAAATTTGAAATATTCTGCTCAGCAAATGGAGAATAGCTCTGGAAGAAACACTTCTCACACAAAGAAGCTAAGAGCCAAAAAAGCCTGAAAAGTCCAAAGTTTAGTGTGACGGCTTTTCTTCTCCTATCAGAGCAAGAGAGATCACGTGTGTGAGGAGGAAGCGACTTCTGTTTGAGTTTCTCTCAGACACCGGAGCAGTATTTATCCAAAGGCAGGCACACCCTCTCCTAATGTGTGTTTTTATTTCAACGCGACAATACTGTCGCAGATTAGGTCACGGACCAGTGTGTCGTGCAGAAAATTAATAAGTTTTTAACAAGTTTGCACTGAGACTGTTTCCCCAGGAGGTCTGGTGGGCTGGATGCCTGCTCCACAGTCTGCTCACTCTTCAAAGGGAAATCTCAGCTTGGGGACTAAATGGGAACTATCACTCTTGCCATTTGTGCACACACTGGTGTGTATATTATTTTGGAAGAATGGAGTGGTGCAGCAAATGCTTGTGAAAAGAGGAAAATGTTGATTTTTTTTGGTCATTACCTGCGTCCCCTTAAATACCTTAAATGGGCTGCTTTAACATCTAACGTCCACCTATAGAATGAGGAGGATTCCTTAAAAAAAACTTTCCTTGTCAGTGAGATGCACGGAAACTGAGCACGAAAATGTAGACGCTGTCACACTTAAACACTGTATACCTTGCAAAAAATAAAGGATGGAAGACTTCTCGGTACAGCACAAAACATTGCAAAAAGCGGCAATCCTCATGCTTGTCAAAGGCATGGGAGAGCTACTGCACTCTTTATTGAAGCTGGTGGATTGGAATCTAGTCTATACATCAACGATCTAGGACAGACTTAGACAGATGGGCGAGCAACGGGAACTGGATAAAATTAAACAAAAAAGTCACCTCCAGGAAAGGTGTTATGAAGTGTAGTTTTTCAGCCCGGAAAGGGCAAGCTGGGCAGAGTGTGATTACCAATTTGAGCTATTGGCTCCAAGGGTCTTTGAGCCTTCATCACGTCTCGGAGAAGTGTTCTTCTAAAACTAGTGCTAGCAGAGTGCGTTTTTTCTTAATCTGATGCAATCAAAATGCTATAGGTGAGATCAAACACTAGCATTTCCTGTGCAGAACTGGATTTAGAAACCTGCACTGAGGCCCACAGTACAGGGAGTCATGTTAACTGAAAAGGGGATTAAAGGTAATCAGTTCTCAACAACACTGCCTTCATTTTTATATCATCCTGGTAAAAAAAAATCAAGAAAAAATGAGGAAAATGCATTTTTATTTCGAAGTCTTATATTAAAAATCTACTGCAAGTACTATTTGTCTGAGTGTTGAATCCCTAGATTTACACCTATAAATAAAGCTTTCTAACCAAATGCAAAATTAAATGCTACTTCAATATCAGTCTCCTCAGTTCTGTTCTCAAAGATATGAACCAACTAAAAGAGAGATGGCTTATAACTACCATTAATATTTGGGATATATTTATGTGACCTATAATTGTAAGATGACAATGAATACACTACACTTGCACTGAATGCTTTATGGCATTAAAGGGCTTTCCTTGATGGCATTGCTCTATCTATCTTCTTCTCGCTCATTTGGGCTATGCAGTAAATTTATCCTATGCACTTCTGGAAAATATTTTAACTGAAATTATGCTTAGCTTCTTCATTGCTGAAATCTGTTTCCTGTGTTCTTTATTTCCTCTGCTCCTCTCCATGTGTGAAAGGTTTCCTCAAGTTCATTTGCCCTCTGGTTTGTTGCAGCTTACATGTTAACTCATCCTTTTTTTTGTCTTTATTCTTCATTTCAGCTGCCAAGGGGTTGGGTTGGTTTTTTCTCTTTTTCTTCCCCCTCTTTTTTGTAATACAGAAATTTCAGTCAAGTCTGTGCTTTTGTTCTCTGGCATTTGTGTGTGGCCTTGGCAGTCGCTAGAAATTGAACTGAGCCATCAAGCTGTTGCCAGAACCACAGGGAATGTTCTGCTGAGCACCATATTGCCCCTAAATCCTCCAGGATCCTTTCATGTAAGAAGGAAGGAAAGTAGGAGCACAGCAAGGAGAGGGTTTATTTTGATTTATGCATCAATACGTATTTGAACTTCACTGTTGCCAGCCACATGGCACAATGGATTTCTGTTTTTTAGGTTAAGACTTACAACTGGCAAAGAAAAAGCTAGAACTCCTAGTCCACCCACATTTCCAGCATTTGTATTTGTGCAATTGTGGAGACTGGGGCCAAGCAGTAGAAAGGTTTTATCGCACATGCAGGCAGGGCACTGAGCTGCTACACACAAAGCGTGTTTGTTCTAGCTAAAAGGCTATCGTGTGCACATGCAGATAAGCGTGTGGGAAAAGCATGTGTTGGAGGAGTTCGTGTGGCCTAACCGGGATGATTGGAGGTGACTTGAAAGGCTGGTTTGGAACTAAGCAGCCTGCGAAAGGGCACAGGACACTCTTATCTGCATGTCACATGTAGCTGCCATCCTAACACATCTTGGGACACAAATACTAAGACTCTAGGCCCTATAATCACTATAAAAGCATAAGAGCACAGAGATCATGCCAGACGAAGGACCTTTAGGCTCTTTGCAGTGCTGCAGCCATACCTGGGAGAAAGGCAGGTCAACCACATGAGATTGCTGCTGTTGACTTCCGTGCTTTCTTTAAACAAGGCAGCAAGCCAGAAAGCCACGGGGAAGATAAAACACAGTATTTGGGTTTTGCCCAATCCAGCTAATGCATGTTAACTGCACAGCTTAGTTTCTCTGGGTTGGTCAACCAATGCTAAGAAGACTTTCTGGCAGAACAGGCGAGGCCTCAAGAACGAGGTGGCCGAGTTCTGGTAAGTTCTACCACAGAAGTGCTCTGCTTGACCCAGCGCTGACGGCACCGCGCGGTGCTGGCCGCCTCGGGGCACCAGGAGCACAACATCTACTGGAGGGCAGCAGCATCTCCCACCACTGCTCCAGAAAACAATAATGCATATACAAGCATATTGACATCTGCAGGCGTTTTGGAGGAAGTTATACTTGTTGAGTTTTGTTTTGCATTGAGGTTTAGACATTTTGAGAGTTTCTTAACTCCTCTCTCTTCCTCGTACTATCCCATCTGTGCCCTGGCTCAGTATGATACTTCTCTTGACTACACCAAGATTCCTCTCCCAGCTCCTCTCATTCACTGTTTCCTTACTCTTTTACCATGTCTAACCTTTCCCCAGGCCTCAGGTGTACACTTGGGTTCCTGCGTCCGATGATTGTTTTTTCTTTTGTTTGCCCATCCATACTGGGTTGATGTTAAATGCTTCCTACAGCTACACAGACATACTGCATTCATCAGCAACACAGGCACAGATCACCTGAATTCCATAATTTCCGCTGAAATAGGGAAGTGGAGCTGTACTTACAGATTAATTATACAGAGAATTATAGCAATCTAAAGACAACCTAATGTTCATTAAAGTTTCATTGATGAACCCGAAGATGGTGCCATAGCTGTCCTTGTGTCAGTGCAAGACAGCAACCTGAGGGGCTCCTTGGTGCTACCAGCTTATATGATGCTCTCCGTCCAGTGTGATCTAGTTCACCAAACAAGGCGGCTGCTGTAACTCTCAGAGCACATTACCAATATTTGCTTAGGTTTTCTTTTGCTGCTTAAGCAGCAGTTAAAGTCAGTTTTAGTATGTTGCTTAGTAAAGTGACATATTCCTAGATAACCATAGCATCACTGAAGTCTACAGACCAAATATGGAAAAATGAGACACCCTTCCTGTCAACTGCTACATACCAGTTTTTAAGGTACCCATTCTTTGTGCGAGGCATAAAAAGCAAAGTGAAGTGAAGCCCTGCCAGATACCAGACACTGAAAAACAAGGGACTGCTATTAAATATCACACTGAAAAAATGTGGTCAGCACAGCATACAAGCCAGGCAGCACTCGGCTTGCACAGGCTGGTTATATTGCTCTGTACTTCACACCTGTGACACTTGGGGTGCTCCAGTTGATTCATTAAGGGTAATGAGGATGACACTTTAACAAAAAAGTAATCTCAAGAAAAGTGAGGTCTTAGATTTTCATCCTTTTTCAAATTTCATAATATTTCATAAAATCTGTGAGTTCCGAGTTCTGGACCGAGGAAGGAATATTTTCAAGTCCAATAGCTTAGCACAGCTGCACTGAAAGACTGGCTTGCTGAACAGTAACTAACTGAAGAACAAGAAACTAAGCCAAGCTCTCATTTCCCTTTTGACTCAGGAAAACAAATAGGTTTTTTTTCATATGACCTTGCCTATAGGACTAATGAATCCTAAAATAAATTACAATAGCTGACATGATATGACTGTTTTTTTGTAAAGTATGTTTTCAAAGATACTGTTGGAGGCCGTGATATCAGCTCTATATATGCACACTGCAGCACAACTTATAGATTCGTATTTCGTAAGAAAACCTTCTCTGTCCAAATTTCACCTAATGCAGCTATTGTTTTAACTGCCAGCAGCAGGATTTCACATGCCCACCGTACTGAAGAAGATACGGTTTTGTTCTTCCAATTTCCCCTTCTTTGCCATCAGGAATAGAGTTTTGTCAAGAAATTTAAAAGACAGGTTTCAAGTAAACACGTTTGAAAGAAGAAAGGGGTTTTGAATAGCCCGTTTCTGAGATGCCTGATGTTACACCACGCACTTTTCCTAGCTCTAGGTACCAAAATACCAGAGCCAAAGACTGCCTGAGTACCCTTGCTGTTTATTCCTTCTCAGAGTGCAGGGGCAGGCAGATGTGAAGGCCTTCCAGGTGCAAGCAGAGGGGATACTAAATGATAGCCAGCCTTGGCACGGACTTTACTGGGTATAGTCAGCAAGGTTTCTAGGGCTCCTCAGCTCTTACCAAGCAATAACACACCGTTTTCTGCTTTCTGCCTCTAATTATGACAGTCGTTGACCTTCAGCTCTGTTCAAGTTCTTTGCAAGTGCCAACAAATTAATTAAAAACTTCACAGGAATGTGAGAGTCTCAGGAAAAAATGTTTTCTGCTTTCTGCCTCTAATTATGACAGTCGTTGACCTTCAGCTCTGTTCAAGTTCTTTGCAAGTGCCAACAAATTAATTAAAAACTTCACAGGAATGTGAGAGTCTCAGGAAAAAAAATACAGTAGTAAGAGTGAAACTTCCATAAATATTGAATCTCTGAATCTCTGTCACTTAAACCCGGGCACGGAATTGTCCAAGTGGCCAGTTATATATCTCAAGACAAGAGCCCTGCAAGGATGGGTATGTGTGTGTGATGTCGGAGATGATGAGAAGAGGATTTCAGCAGCAGTCACACAACCCCCATCTAGCCTGACTTCTGCTGATAAATGTATGCTACCTCCCAGTATAAATAAATTCCCATAAAGCAAAGGCAGCAGTATGAAAGATATAAGAAACATTAACAACAAAGGAAATTCAGTATTGCCAAGGAGTAGCAAGGCACATATACACTGAATTTCCTTTGAACTTGTACAGCTGGTAGGTTGCAAAGAGGAATCAAGGACTGCTACCCCAGGAGGTTACTTTTAAAAATGGCAATGAGGTAATTTGCCTTTTGTACAAAGTTCTGGAGGACGGTAAAGGTATCCCACAGAGTCTAGAGACCCCCTGCATTGACCATCCTTAACTACAGGGATAAGCAGAGATCTGAGGGGTCTTACCAAAAAAGACCCCTGACTTTTGGTTAAAGTTTCAAGTTCATTCTGCAGAGATCTGAGGGGTCTTACCAAAAAGTTTTGGTTAAAGTTTCAAGTTCATTCCTTGGTTTCAAGCATGAAAGCTAATTCACTGAGAGCTCCAAGAACATCTCCCACAAATCAGAGGACAGCAGAACTGGCAATAAAGATATTTCATTTTTTTTTTAAGCACTTAAGTGCACCAAAAACATAAAACCTTCTTTATAAATCTTAAAGAATCAAGAGGGAAAAGCCTTCTACTTGTCAACTTTAAGATGGATTCAAACAACTGTAGTTCTTAGGAGTTAAAGGCCGCTATGATTTCTCAGCACACCTATATAACACGTCGTGTGTCTACACCTTTTGTGTTTTCATTGCTTCTACACAAAACAAAAGCTGTCAAATAAGGTGTTCTGCTCTTCAGATAGGCCTGAATGCACATCACCCACCACCTGAGGATTGTTCCAGTAGCCTGTGGGCTGACCCCGTGCTCTTCAATGAGATATCTGCTTCCTTTCCCTGCGCATCCCTCCCTGGGTCCCTCTAAAGAGAAACTGCATTTGGCTGCTATTGGTACTCAGCCATGACAGCACCTACCGAACACAAAACACCATTTAATAAACAAAAGTCTCCAGATTTTGCTTGTCATACTTGGAGGCTGGAGCAAAACTGATCAATCCTAATGCCAGCTCCCCAAGCAATAGCTGGCAGCACTTGAGAGTTCTATTTGGAGGAACAGAAGGAGTTATATAAGTTGATCTGCATAAAGGATGTGTTGACTTCAGGTTTCCTTTCTGTTAATGAGATTCTCAGTATTTAAAATAGTCTTGCAACATGCAATAATTGCTGAAACATACTCCTTTCTGTGTTCTTATCTTCACTGTACCTGCATCTTATGGTCTATACACGTAAAACTTCTAATGATTTATAAACGGGACAGCAGTAATCCTAAGACACGGCAGTTTCTTATTTTAATGGCTGTTCCTGGGATTGCTGTAATCAATGTGAACTCCCCTAATAACACCATTTGTCAGAGGATCCCAATCTAATTTCATAATTTCATAATTTCCTGTAATGCAAAATGTTAGACTCATTTAAATTCGATCCAATCTGTAAATTCCTCACCTCCCCCCAGGCAGCAGGCGGAGGCTCCACAGGAGGGTAGTATTTTGGGACATCCCAAGCCACTGCAGCCATGAACCACTTGAAATCTTTGCATTTAAGGTGCTTGCGAAGTTCCTTCTGGGCAGAGATATCTCCAGTTGAGAGATGCCTGTACTCGGGCCGCCGCTGGTAAATGTATTCTGCAAACTCATCCATCCACGTCTCTGCCACGCGCTTCAGGTTCTGTGCAGCAGAAAAAAATATCATTAATTTTTTCAGGCTTTGACGGACTGATATTTCTAATATGGGAAATTAAAAAAAAATCTCAATAGTCCACACAGCTTGCAAGCTTAGTTGACTGTGGACTCTGGTGTGTGAATTAAATGCAAAGCCTTTTGCAACTGAGTCAGGAGTGTGACAGAATCAGAGTGATGATTTGGTGTAGTTTGAGGCTTTTAGTACTCTGATGCATTTGGTAATTGGAGGTTTAATTAATCAGATACAGTAAAGTTTTGTATAATTATTTCAGCTAGAATATTACTGTGATGTTGCCAGGTTTGTTTTGGAGTTTGTTTTTAATTAGTTGCTAGTCTACAGTTTTCCACATATTTTGATTCACTTTAATTTTGAGGTTGGAGGTCTGGGTTTCTCTTTTAACCTTTAATATGTATTTTTTGGGCTCCCAAGATGTCCTTGATCTTTCGTAAGCTGCATCCACAAAGACTGTCTTGGTAGAAGTGTTTTAATTTCTCCTGTAGCTAACCACAACGAAGTAGATATTATTAACATATTCAGCACATGAGAGGAATTCTGACATATCACCATGTATATATGCTGCAAATGCCTGCAACTAATAACACCGTGAAGGGCTTGCAGAGCATGATAAACTAAGGATTATAAACTGAGCAACCAAGCCATAACGTTCCTTCCCAGGGCAGTCAAGTCAGAAAACTTCGGAGCGGTCGGAGGAGGGTGAATTTGCCTCCTGTTTTCTAATGATGAAAACTGACCTTACGAGAATTCTGCTAAAATAAAAACGACTAAAATCAAAGTCTTGGGACCTTTTCTAGATGCTAGCGTATTTTATTCTCCCTTGTACCCAACCTCTCTCTTTTCTAGGTTTGCCATATTCAGTTCAGCCTTCTCTACAAGAATACAACTCTCAAAATTTAGAGTAAGGATCTTGACTGTTTAGACTTGTAGCATTCAAAATCACTACTTGTTGTTCCTCAGAAATGATTCAGAGTTACAGCCCTGCTCTCTTTCCTCAACCCGCATGGATTTATTTGAAACCATTAATATTTTTATAGATTTATAATAACAAGAAGATGATCCATCTTATTATTACCTTTCTGTATATAAATGCAGGAGACCATTAGATCTAGATACTTTTAGACAATCACACATTGTGCTACTGTATTATAGCTTATTGCTTCTAAAATAAAAGACTTATGATTAAATGCTGTTGATGCCTGTGCTGTATGTTTTCAATTGTAAACTATAGCAAAACACCGTAGATAGGTTACACTGCCACCTTTACAGAGTGTCCTTTCCCGTTGACACTGTAGGACAGGGCCTTCTGACTGCTGAACATCTTATTTTCCTTCCTGTTCACCATCTTTACATGGGTTTTTGACTAATGCTGCATGTTGAACAGAAATTTTCTTTCAGCTGCTCACAGTGATACCTATGTCCTTTCCTGCTGTTTCAGAACCTACTAATGTGCACGAGCAGCTCAAATTATTCCTTCTGATGTGTTTCATTTTGCCTTTGAAAGGTGTCTGAATTTCAGCTGCCATCACACTGCTCATTCACCTAACACTTGCATTTCTGAACCATCGCTAGTCTGGGTTAACCTGGTCTTCTTCAAGTTATTTCCTTGTTCCCTCTCAGTTTTCTTTACGAATATCTGAGATACTTGTTCTAGAAGAGACATGTGGCGTTGTTGAGGCTAGTCCTCTGCCGTGATAACAGCACACAATTCAACCCCAGTGTGGGGCTAAGAGACCATATGTGTGTGCAAGGGCTTTGGACTGGAAGCTCAGCACAGCAGCACGCGTGTGCCAGCAAAAGCACAGCAGCCCACAGGATCAATATGACAACCTGTGACTCTCTGTATTCATCCTAAACACATATACAAGACTACTTTTTTCAATTACATCCTCATTCTATCTTATATCTCACATACAATTTATTTTGATGTAATTTTACAAGAAATGGAATTGCTCATTTGCCTGTGTAAGAATTTGCTCAAATCATAATGGTCATTTACAAAATTATAAAGTAAAAAGACTTATAAGGAAAAATCCTAGATAGAAAAGATCCAAGAAATATATTTTATTGATGCTTTTAGCCATGCAGTTTAAATAGTAGGTAAACTTCTTTGTATTTTTGTTTGCTTTTAAAATTCCTCCTGCAACTTAATTCACACAAATCTATATTCAGATGTCAGAGTTGAGTAGTGGCTTAGTCTGTTCTGCACTTCTTCAGCTGCCCAATAACCTCTTATCCCACCAAGAAAGCAACACCTCACTGGATGATGTTGAAACACTAGAGGATTCTTATTGCTTTGTTTGTAAAACCAAGATCAAGTTCTGTAAATTTTTTCTTTTTTGTTTTGTAGAAAGCTAACTACAAAATGTTGGGATTTGCCCTGTAATAAGCTAGAGGATAATATACATTTGATTATTAGCAACATAAGGTAATGTTTTTTCCTTTAGAACATTCTCTGTATATGAGTCTGATTCTTACTCTGCTGTGCTTTCAAGATTAGTTTGAAAATTCCTTTCCTGAATTTTATTAATCTATACAAATGAAATGTCTCTGAACTAATAAGGCTTATCTGAATACAAAGACAAGAAGATACAGAACAAACAAAGCACATTAGGTGACATTGCAGGATACATTACTAGACAATTTGTCTCTATGAAGCAAATACATAAGATCTGCAAGGATAAAGCAAGCCTAATTAAAATCATAACCCTTATGTCCCCATTCCAGAATTACTTACACCCCACATAGGGCTCACCTTTGATGCAATCTCATGAAAACCTAAATTACTTTACTTCACATGAAATTAGAATTCAAGAATAAAAGAACAGGGTAAGACAAATAGACCAAATTCAGGAACAGTTTCTACATGGCAATCTCATTTTCTGCTGTAAATCCTATAATGCAAAAATGCTGACAAGTGAAAATATGATGCAATGAGACTTTGCAGAGAAGGCCAAAATATGATTTAAGTGCATTAAACCAGGAAGTCAAAATTGTGAACACAGGTGTCATCTTCCTAGTGTATTCCACTCATATATGATGCGCACCTCACTTACTATAATGAAAATACAGTCTAAGCCTGTAAGTACTTTGTAATCACTTTAGCTAAGTGCTATTTTCATACTTAGAAATCACACAGTACAAAGAACCATATAGTAGAAGTACAGTAAAATAATTTCCTTAGGAAAGAAAAATTCTAAGCAACTCCAGTGGAGATTTACATCATCGATATTAAGAGTAGACTCTGCTAGAGTGTTCCCCTTAGTTATATAGCTAAAAAAAAATAATTCTTCCTTCTTAGGTGACTAGAACTGAGTAAAATAGGAGTCCAGTGGAAATAAATACTTGACACTGATCTGGTCATTAGCTCTAAATTCTCATTCATCAGTAAAGAGCTCTCTGTTTTCCAATGAATCGTCTATCACTGCTTTTCTGGTGGAAACCTTTTAAAACATTGCATTTACAAAAATAAGTAAATAAAGCACAGCCCTTCCCCCACTATTCCCCAAGTATCAGCCAAAACTCATTGGCCAAAACAGTTCCAAACTTTGTTTCCCTGTTCTTTCAGAATCATTCTCTTCCTCATATGCCAGAAGTCTTCCAAAGCCCTGTCACATCTCCTAAAGTCTATATATGGTTAGTATATTTTTACATTGCCATCATAAGCTGAGCCTATGTAAGGCGGTCACTCCTTTCAATGTTAAGTTTTCCTTTCCAAAACACAAATTCTTGATTTGTGAGCTCTAAGTCTGTGGACTGCTTAAAATATAAGAAACTCCAGGGTGGATTGGCAGGAAGCTCTCTGAAGCTACCAGACACAAGGCAGCCCTCAGCTTCCCCTTGCTGCAAGCTAAATCAGGTTGGTTGACCTAAGTTATCAGGGTTTTATTATCCTTATTATCACTACACAGGTTGATATATTGCCTTAATAATTACCAAGCTTCCTTTTCGCATAATCATGCTCAGACCAACATTAAGAAACTTCAAACTGCAATTAATCCTCATACTTGAACTGAATGGAGTGAAATAGAGTTGTGTTCCAGTAAGCTAATCAGCTGCAATCTTGCACAGTAAAACAACTGCAAACATCTCATACACCACTATTTAGAATATGTTTACTTAGCATGTTCCTGGTGCAAAATCACAGGCTTTCCAAGACGAATGAGCTCCAGGAAGTTGCACATCCCAGTTCTTTGACCGCCTATAGTGAAAAGTAGCTTGGCATTGTATGAAGAACCTCCTAGAAATATAACTCTCCTCTGCCACCTATAGTAGTGAAATTCTGGTCTTTCACTCACCTTATTGTCAAAATATAAACACATATAAATGAGAGAGTTCATCTTTGAACACCTGAAGGCCTACTGATTGTATAGCATAAGGGATGCGAAATTCCATTCTTTTACAAGGGCCCTGGATTTGTCCTTCCCCCAGTCTGGGTGAATGCTCTGTGCTGTGGAGAAGGGAGGACTGTCACTTTGTGCCCGAGCCTCGTGCAAGCTTGGGTACAATCTGAGCAAGTCAGTGTATTAAGTCCCCACAAGGCTGATACATATGACAATGATTAGCTACAAATTCTAACAGGGTCAAGTAGCAAAATATGTGCTAAGAAGTTTGACTCTGTTAGGACTTTGTCACTTATGTGTGAATACTGCTGCAGAGATGAAAGGACCTGGAGAGTCTAGCAGATTAGGTGGCATTTTGTGAATCCCTTATAGCATCATTTATGAAGCTAATCAACAAAGAATTTAGAACAACCAAAATAAGCGATGGTTTTCAATCTTCTGTATTTCTGTGTCCTTTACACTTTGTTTCATCTTTTAAAGACTCCACTAAGTGCAATTTTCTCAAATGGTATTGAAAATATTTATCAAAATATGACTTGGTTTTGCGGGGTATTTGAGGGCTTATACTGGCTCAGATTCTTTTGCTTCAGTCTGAGCCTCATCTTAATGCATATGAAAAGTAAAAAT